GTATTAAAATTTAACGATAACGAAACGACACAATGAAATGAAAAAAGAAAAAGAAACTTTAAAATTAAAACGACCGTTCTGTTTCTTTCTTTTTTTTTCTCTTTTTTTCTCTCTATAACAATTGTGATAAAACAAATGGTATATCTCGGATTCCAGACGAATACTATAAAGGAAAGATCATTTTGGAAACGCTGTTTCACCCCGTTACGACGACTTGATTTCGTTGTAATACAGTCCACTTGCCTGGATTCCGACGAACTGCCTAGCAAAAGGGAGAGAATTGTAAATTGAAGAGGAAAAGGGAGAGAAAATGGAAAACAGCATGTTATCGGCCGTTTCCGGGCCCTTTGTTGATCGCCACGCCTCCGAAACTGCGTTTGCGCGTGACGATTTGCGCAACAGTTGGAAGTTGGAATTCTGCCTCGAAATAGCCTTAATCTCAACGAAAATAAGGAGAGCTGGCTGAACAGAACTGCAACAGCTGTATTTTGCCCTTTTCTTTACGAACATAAAACGCATCGTCTGGTTGAGAAAAGGCCTACCTTCCCCAGGTTGTGCATACACACGCATACCACTCCGTTTTTTCTGTGTTACATGAGTCCATTACGTATGTCACTGATTATTTTATATCTTATTTATGCTCATTTTGTAATTAGAGCTGTCTGATCTTTTCTGTTATTAGATATTTAAAACGCGATCTTGGAATTTTGAGTTCACATGCGTAACGAGGGAATTATTCTTTCGCATAAAGTTGAACTTTATTACGGATGGCAATCAGATTCAATCAGTACAGCATATTAGAAGCGTATGCATTTAATGTCGCGTATAAAGTGCGTCGATCACAAGTCCAATTTTGTAATCTTGCTGTGCATATGAATGCGTGCCGCTGATAAATTGTCCTTCAATTGGACCAGATTGAGACTTTTCAAAAAAAAACTATTATTATTTCATTTATTTACCATAAACAAATTAAAAAAAAAATATCAACCTCCATATTTCAGTATATCGATTCGTTCTTTTTTGTGTGTTAACGTTAATGCAGAAACATTGTTGACAATAATTTCTCATTTTGTTAACGATACGATTTAATATTCACAATTAATATTGGTTCGATAATTTTACTACAATACTATTATTTCTTACCATACTATTTTTTTGCCAATTTGATTGTCTGCTGAGATTTAAGATGAACCAATGCAAAATAAGTCGAATACAGTTATGTGTTTTTACAATGTGGAAAAATTATGGAACCATCATCCTTGTACGGAAAGACCATTGTACTGGTCGCAGGGCGACTATGCGATACGACTGTCTGTAGGAAGGGTAAGAGGTATCCTCGACCTTGAAGTTTGTACCAGCCAATCCCAAGCCTTTATTTTCTAACAGAGGGCACGGGATTGGTTAAATGTTCTCCACGGTACCACTGTATTTCCAAGTGCTTCCGGTTAGAAAGACAGATTTTCCAAAAAGCAAAGACTCGGTAAGTCGATAGAACAGGTAACGTCGATATTTTTCTCTTCTTCTCTTTGGTTTTTCTTTTTTTTTTTTTTTCTTTTCATTTTCTTCAACGCACTGTTTTTCTAATGCACTTCTAATGCTGGCCTAACAGCGCAAAAAAGTAATTACCAATGCGCGATAACGAGCCAATGAACTGATTTTTGTTTAATCTCCCTTCATTCTGTGAAAACAACACACGCGTGCAAAAAAGGTGCAATACATGGGATTCGAAAAACAATTTACTTGGCTCTGATTACGCATTGTCCGACTATGCGACGAGAGAGCATGATCGGATTTGTTATGGCTGTGTAACACAGGGAACCTATCTCTCATTGGCAGAATACAACGATCAATTAGAAGAATACGACGCAAGAGAGAGAGAGGCCATATTCTGACGATTACTTTGAAACGTAGTCCCTGTGACACACAGTCGAACTGTCGAGAGCATTTGGTATCAGCCTTTGGTGTGGTGCTCGTGTTACATCTGGCTGCGATACGTTACATTGGACCAGCCGATCTTTCACTCTCATTTCTAGTTCACATATTTACATTACATATAAATACACACTGTATTCTAGTTCTCCAAGCTTTTTTATACTCTTGTCAACGTGCTCGATAAGATCCTTTGACAATTACTCACAAAATTCAGGGCGAGTACTTGTGCTTAAAATAAATGGCTCCCTACTGCACGAATTTTGCAAGTGATGCTATTTGCAAAATAACTCCTATACAAAGCTCTCTGTGTATCGCATTGCAATACGACCGTTTTGGTTCTGCTTTTGTTCAATCGACCCCACCTTTCCCCCCCCCCCTCTGTGAGAACTTATCTTTTTGAAAGTTCCGGGAACAATAATAATCTCGCGATCGAATATGTAACCCTATTTAATTCAGCAGCTCGCGGAAACTTTCGAAAGACAATCAATAGTTTCGTCTGGCACTTCGCAAAGTAAACATTTCGAGGATGTTGGCGGATGAAATTAATGATCTTCCTTCAATCTCGGTTGATTGCAGTCCTCCATCCTCGAATTCGTAATACTCTCGTATCTTGATAACGTCTCGTTTTGTTCTGTTTTTTCTGTTCGATTTTTATTAAAATTTGCAGCAGGTGTTTTCGCAGTGTAGAATTAGTGTTTCAAACATGCTAGAGAGCAAGACGTATTCCGTGTGTCTGTTAATAACGTTTGTATCGTGCAATATGATCGACCGTTCCGAGGTAACAGGTCCTTAACCTATCTTCGGAACGTCGAGAACCGTAAAACGATCGAGTGAGAAACGAAAAAAAAAGAGGATATTGAGTTTCTTTTTTTAAAATTTTCGAGAGATCGGAAATAACGTTGGAAACGAAAGATGAAAAAGGAAACGCATAGACGAAGATTCGATGATTCGAGAAAGATGGATGAACACGGCGCATCAACGATACGTTTGATCGCATTCATGCTTGAGCGTAGGCTTATCTCGGGACGTGTACAAGGAGGATGAAATTATTCAGCCGGTAACGGCAGAGACTGTACCGAGGCCGCGCTACACTTCTGAGAAAATAAATTCTCCCGCGCTTCTTCAGTGCCTGTAGGTTCGCGTTGCCACTTCCTTCGTGAATTCTCTTCTTCGAAGATCGAGTTGATTCGAATAGCCAACCTTCCCTCTGGGGACCATAAGGGGACGAGGCTCTCGACTGCGCAATTCTCGTTGCAGAAAAAAAAACGTAGAGACGCTAAAAAAGGTAAAAAGGAACAGAGGCGAAGGGGATATCGAATTTTTTTTGCGGCCCCTCCTCGCTTTGCGCCTATATTGATTTTTAGAAATTCCTCGCGAGACGGTCGAACGCGAGTGTAGAAAAGAGTAAGCGAGCGAGCGAAACGAACCGACGAAGGAAAGAAGAAAAGAAGGAAAGAAACGAAGCAGCCGGAAAAGAAACGCGGCCCTCCGAGCCATCGCGCGTTCTAGGGCGGTGCAGCGCTGTTTTACGAAACCTTTCAACGGGCAATGTCCGATAGAAACCGAGAGCGTAATTAAACTTGCGACTTATCAAGCCGAGGAACGTCGCGTGTTTTGCGAAATGTCTTAACGTTAATAATTGTTTCGAGAATACTCTCTGGCCACTCGATTTTGACTCGATTCATTTTTTTTTTTTTTTTTTTTTTGTGACACTTTAGTTGACGAACATATTCGTTATGTAATTCGTTATTAATTGTATTTCTTCGTTCTTTCTCACGAGTTTCTCCTTCTAACGTTTCGTCTCCTGTGCATTCATCGATTGTTGAAAAGATTTCGTTTTGACAAGACTTTGGAAAAACGTTTGACATTGTGCGAAACGTTAGTGAGAACATATTCGTAAAAACGTATGTACCGCGTTACTCGAACATTGATCGAAAAAATCTGAGAAATTTGAATACAAATAATACGAGATTTAAATTTAAATTGGGGAATTTCAACGGTAAATCGAAAAACTCGTGAAACAATAAGGAGAGAGAGGGAAGTGGAGCAGGAAACACAGAGAGAAAACAACGCTCGTTCGTTCGTTCGTTCGATAATTTATTTTATATAATATGTACAGCAATGGTGCGTAAGAACGGAAGGCAAGAACATTACGCGAGTTAGAAAAGTTGAAATGAACCGTTAAAGTTCCATCGGATGAAACGTGAATTAATGGTAGGGGAGCGGGAGGAGGCTATGCGTGCGTATTCATAGGTATTTATAAGATTCGTAAGGATGTTTACGGCATTTGTTTCTAACAGCGGGAAAATTCCCACCCATATTAGACATAATGCGAGACGGCCCTGCTTATAGTCGAATGCAATCGAAGGTAGTCGAAGTCGTCCGAGGACAGTGGAAAATAGTGGGATGTTTCCCCTCTTTCGCTTGTGACCATCCCTCATCCCCTACCATAGCGCGCATCCCTTCCTTTAGGCTCGATGTCTCTCTGTTTCTCTCGTTCTCGTTGATGGTTCTCTCAGTCGCTTCCTCTTCCCTCTCTGTCTCGCTCTGACTGGCTGTGATCTCCCTCTCTCTTTCCTTCCGTCTTTGTCCGTCTCTGTTTCTCCTTCTTGCTCGTTCAGCTCGTTCTTAACGTCAAACCACTTAGGGCCGCGGACCTCGGCAGTCAGTCGATCTTTCCTAGCAGCAGCATTCCGGCATTTTCTACCTGATCGCGCGCGGGCGGTCCGGTAAACGCCATTTTGTTCGTCACGTCTGATCGTCACGTCTCCTCGTTAGAGAGAGGAACCTCGTGCGTACAACGGTTTGTATGTGCCGCGCACCCTTCCACGCCCCGTGCAACACCTGCGTTATCAAAAACAACAAACGAACAGCGACGCACTTTGTAACACACGCGCGCGGTTGTTGTGTGGTGCCGGTGCTGGTTTACATTTGTCTATTCGGTGAATCGACAACTGGACAACTCGAGAATAGAAAGGAAAGGCCGGGTGTTGTTTTTCCGTTGACGAGACCCGCACGGAACGGAGTGCGTGACCCCGCGTGGTGTTCTCTCTCTCTGCTCTCCACGTTATTCCTTCGTCGGTCACCACAACGTTAAGGACTTCGACAACGCAGTTATCCGATACGTGAGAACGTGAGTACGCACCAAATACTTTATTAGATTCGCGCGTATATCGACTGTCTTTCCGTCTATCACGCACAGCTCGAACGTTAGATCTTGTTTTTTCCTGCCTGCATGGCATCGTCTGCCATGTTAGACCGGCGTCTCTTTCTCTTTCTCCCTCCTTTTTCTCTCTGTCCCTCTCTTTTCACTCTCTCCCTTCTCGCGCCGTCCCCCTTCCTCGTGCTGCGTGTAAACGCGCTCTCTCCCACCCTCTGCCCGTATCTCGAGAGACAGGAGCGTCGACATGAGTTTTCCGATTGTGAGTTTTAATGCTAATACACGATGACGATCGCGATCACAGATGCCGATGACAGTCACGCTGTTCGTAAGGAACGACAACGACGCCGCCTGTCAACTAACCTCTCGCTTTCATTGACGCGCCCGCTCCTGTATTTTCGTTGTTTGTTGGTATAATTCGCTGCGTGTATATACGCATGTGTTACGAGTGCCCCGTACGATTGAACCGAGGACAGAGACGGAGAATAAACAGGGAGGTGGGGCAAGCGAGAGAGAATGAAAGAGAAAGACAGACAGACAGCAGACAAACTATAGAGGGAGAAAGACACGAAACGAACACACATTCGTAGAGACGACGACACAACAGACAAGTCGAAACGAAACATCGTGCCCACGTAATTCTACGCGAATGTATGTACATAGGCGATTTCTTTTACAGTTTCGCGTTTTGCCAAGCGATACTATTCGCGGAAGCCGTGTGTATTTTTCGAGACAAACATAACCTTAAACGATCGGAGAATGAATACACACATACTTGACCGGTTTGCGCGTATACCTTTACGGAAGTATAGGCGCGGTTCTTGACACTTGGACGTTACCGACGATCCAGCACGTGTAAGTACACGCCGTTCGATGCTTCAAGATAAGTATTGTAGCGTAACCAATCAAAGTAAACCGGAGTTTTGTTTATTTCGTACGTGTGCTGGCGTAAAAGCGCGGGAAATAGGAGGATTTCGTATTCGAAATGCAACATTTTATACAATCGCAATGTATTGTACTTGCCACGTGACCGAAAAGAAATATTTCACATTTTCAAAAACAAAGAAATTGCGAAATTTTGAGTCAGAATGGCTTCGAATGTGACTCATCATTACGAATCAGATTATTTTCCATGAATACCACCGCGCAGTAACTGAGCACGACAGTTAATTCTAATGCTTATCTTCGCTCGGAAATTTTTCGTTCTAGGAAAACTTCTCTAATCAGTTTCGTCGTTTTTGCAAACCAAACCGCCGTTATAACTTTTATAACAGTCCGATATCGCGTTACGCGTATGTTTTCGGTCTTTCTCGTCCTATTTTTCTTCTTTTTCCTTTTCTTTTTTTTTTTTTTTCGTATTTCCCTTTTTTCCTTTCTGTATGACGTAATCGTCACCGTCCATTACAATCGCACCTTACGCTTTCATGAAATTTGATAGAACGTTAAATGTTTTTTGCACGAACGATCGTACACGCTGTACTTATCTGAAATACACGTTGTCGCGTACAATCGACGAGCGGCAAAAAAAGGAAATTTTTATCAGAGGGAAAATTGAATCGTGACTATTCCCTTGGCTCGTTCGTTAAAACAGAAGTCTGCGTTATGCGCGTCGTTTTTTTTTCTTTTTTTTTTTTTTTTTTTTTTTTTTAAATTTCGGAAACAGTATCGCATCCAAATCGAAGTTATCGAACCTCGAAAGAAAATTATGAAATCCTATTATGCGTGACGGGGCGGGGGAGGAGGAGGGCTTGCTCTTCTTTTTCCCTGTAGGAATTACGTTATCTCGTTCGTACCTCACATCAGTGGTTCCATTGACGGCGCGTCATGGCGAATTATTAAACACATCGAAAAAGAGCAATTACTTGACGTCATTGCGGACACGTGGAGGAGAGCGCGTTAGTCGTAGTAATTTATGTCATCGCCGGCGCGGAAATG